GTTATTTACACATGTAGGTCATTTCATTGTTATCCACATTTGATATCATCATTTATCACATACTTCCATGACACTCTTGTCTGTCGCTACAACTGCCAAGAATTAACGCGATTGGCGAAACGTAGTGATAGCGGGCCAATAGAGAGCAGGATCCTTGCCATAATGCAGTTTGCGTGCCAATTTTTGTACGTGCGTTAATCAAGCCGAATAGTTTGGCGAAATATTCGGCCTGAGGCCGAATATACTATTCGTTACAACACTAGTATTTATAAAAAATTTTATTTTCAAATTACATCATTTCTATGACCAAGGGCGGCGTAAGGCATGGGCAATGTGGGCCTCCGAAGGGCCTCGTGTTTTGAAGGTTTATGCATTACTTAAAAGCCACGAACATGATGGGAAAATTTTACTTGTCATAAAACAATAAATAGTTTGTCAAATTTTTATTCATAAAAATGCAGTTTCAATTGCTTTTTATTTTATAAAATCCGTCTTCTTGCGCCACCAGAGGGCCTTTTAAACAATAGGTATTCTGTTAGCGTAGTCAGTAGTAGTCCAAATTCAATATGAACGTTTGTTTCTTGAAAATTTGATAACAATTTAAATACATTATTTACTTTTAATATTACCGATATGTCATCAAAAAGAAAATGTGTTGTATTATCATTAAAAGACAAAGTATTTGTTTCGATTATCCGAATTTTTCCTTATCTGGACTAAGGCATCCCCAATTAGTCCGGATAATCGAGGTTCTATTGTATTTTATGTTTTAACAAAGATAAAACCAACTGATGAAGGGTAATAATAGGCCCAAAATGTATATTGGTTTAATAAAATCTCAGTGAACTTTCCAGCTGAAAACTGTGGTGATAAGTTCTTCAAATTCAAAGTAAATTCAAAAGTATCTATTAAGAAGATTAATTATAAAATAAGACAAAAAGCAAATATATATTATACCAGATTTTGTGAAAAAGCAAATAATTATAATTAATTGGTTTAAAAATTTTTTGTTATATTTTTCTTAGAATTTAATATGTATACAATTCAGTATACTTTATCAGAATCATATATATATATTTATAAATATACAAACAAGAAAATGCCACAGTTAACAGAGAACACAATAACGCTGTTAGATTTATTTAACTATCATCTCAGTATTGAACTCTACATGCTTTAAATTATAAAGCTTATATATAGGTTTCAATACTGAGATGATGATAGTTAAATAAAGTGTCCTCTAACTGTCTTAGAGTTCTGTATAAACATATTATTTATAAATGGCAATAATGATTGTCTGTTAAATTTCCTAAACAGGTTGGAGTTTCAAGAAGCTCAGGCACTGATATTCCTGTACAAGCTTTGATGCTGGCTATGTATATTCAGTTACAACAAGGTAAAATATATCATCTTGATTTTTCTTGAAGTTTTAAAATCTTTTAAATGACATATTTGTAATTTTATAGGTCATGCCGATCTTGCCAGGTCTATAATAAAACAGCATTTACCTCAATACAGATAGTATTATTATATATTAATTTGTTGTATAATTTTTTCCGTTAAAAATTAGTTATAAATAAAATATTATTTTATATGTTCTTTATTTATCCTACATCATATCTGCTGTGAAGCAAAATAGACTGTACAACTGATATTTAATTAAAACATTTTTTATTATAAAATATTTCTTTTCTTATATACAATATATATTTTTTCTCACTATTTGAATTTATATAAAACAAATTTTTTCTCAAATTTAATAAATAAAATAAGGATGTCCTTTCTAGAAAATATTCTATTGCCTTGGCTCTAATCTCCATGATTAGAATATTTACAGGTTAGCGAAATGCATTTCGTTCAGATTTCCGGTAATTCACGTGGCGAATCAGGCGGCCAAATAGAGGTTGTGGAGGGCGGTGATTCAGAGTGATGTAACCTCCGCTGGAATCTGGTGGGGCACGCTCCGTCTCACTGTGACACCTTAGACTCCTAAATTTACTTATCTGTAACAAAAATGTTAGATAACTAAAAGTAAATATAATAAACAATCTTCTTCACAAGTATTGAATAAAAACTTGTCTTGCCTGCTCAGCACTAGCTTCAATTGGATTCTTAAAAACTATCCAAGTGACACTTTCATGGCAGGGTGGAGTTGTTAATGATCCTTCATATGTCCAATAAGATATATTATCTATGTACAATGAAAAAATGTAATAAAAAATTTTAATTAAAATTTTAAATAGAAACCATACTCACCAGGGATAAACTTGGCTGGATCTACTTGCTCTCTCAATGGACATCTCTGCCCTTTAAAAGTTATATTTCCCAAAATTTTAACAATTTTTTCTAATTCTACATTTGGCTGTCCTAGCTAAAATTAAATTTTTGTGATCATCACACAAATTTTTTTTTTTAATCTTTATTATAAATATTTACTTTAATAAATGAAGCCAGTACTAGAAGTCCTTGCTTGTTACAAGCCGAATCCCTACAGTCCTTGTACAGTTCACTATTCCAATGAACCATGTGAATCTAAAAATATTGATTTGTAAATTTTTATATTTGAAATATAAAGCTTTTATTATTTTTAAATAAATAAAGGAAAAGGTGGTATTATGGAACCACTCCATTTCGAACTGATAATAAAGGTGAACTGTAGTGGATTGTGGCTGAACTGAACTAGGCAGACATCCATAGCAAGGGTAAAACCCGTTTCACTTCAGTTAAACCGTTATCCGTACTGAATCAGCAAATTTGTTTTTTTCAAAATTCAAAAGTTTTGAATGCTAAGTGAATTTAATTATTTTTAAAATATAAATCGTGTAGTTGTAGGTTCACTGGTGCATGTATTCTGTTCCAGAGACTTAAGGGTACATATTAATCTGTGTAATGTTCACATTTTTTAAAATTTGGTCTTGACAGACATAAGTTAATTCAAGATGGCGATTCCATTGGTGCTTTTAACATGGAACCCAACTCCTCCACTCTCTTTGCAAGCAGACATTCCTCCAGAGCAATTTGTGAAAAAGACACTAGGTAGAAAGGCAATTCTTCCTGAGAATATCGAAAAAAAGCTGCTGGAATATTGTTGCTGGAGATCATATTTTTCTATTATAAAAGCATTTTTTCGATAAAATACATTGGAGTAAATAATTTTGTAATTATCTAACATTCTTTGTACTTTCCTATTTGTTTTTGGATACATTAAAGCATTTTTTGAAAACATACAGTAAGGTTCCATATTACCACCCGATTTTCTCTAAGCCTACTTTCTGACTTTTTGTACAAAAGCCTTCAAAAATCATACTTATAGTTACACTAGCAAAAAATCCAATTAGGAACATTTAATTTAATAGTTACCAGTACTTTCCGCACAAAAAATGTAGGTGTAGTTATGTTACTTTGTTTACAATTCACTAAAATAAAATGGGGGTCCATAATACCACCTTCTCCTCTATATATAAAATAGTTCATTAGAAAATGTAATATTGTCAGAAAACTATTTTTATGTGAATATTTTACCAACTTTATGTTGATATTCAGTTTATAAGCTAATACAAAAATAATACAGAAGTAAGTTTTTGCTGTTTTTACAATCAATAAAACTGAAATCAATAAAACTTTCAGAAATAATCATCTCTGTAATTTGTTAACCACTATGGATTGATTATAGTCAAACGTTGAATTATTGAACAGAAACTTTTCGACATTTTCTTATCCACAAGTATTGAATAAAAGCCAATTCTAGTAAATTGACTATAAAAGTTTAGCTAACAGCCAAAACTGAGGTTACTTGTTAACTTTTTGGTGTGTTCAGGCTATACAGCATTTTGATTTTGAAGAAATAAAATAATTATAAAAATAATTTGAACACTACTATAAAAGAATTAACTGATATAACTGGTTTATATAATTAAATCTGATATTACTGTTATTTGGAACAATAAAATAATTTCTTTGATTACCCAACATTTACAATTATATACAGTATGTACTGTACATTAAGAAAAATCCATATTATATGCTATTTCATTATGAAGTGGAACAGAAATCAAATGAAATTGACATTAAGTCAGCATATTGTAAATGTTTTCATCTATTTAAAATGCTATTTTATTTTTGATTATTAATAGTCAGCAATTTTAAATTTTGTATAATAAAGTTTGCATTACAGTTTTGACAATTGATAATGTCAAAATTGTAATGTTAGTTTTATTAACTGCCATCAACATCTTTTGTAATACAAAACTTATTATACACAGAATAGGAAATATATCCTGATTAGGAAATCATCAATGTAAAATGTACTTTGAAACTTCAGATGATTGAAAGTGGAAAATATGGTTCTAGTGGTGTTAACATCTGTGGTTATGTGGTTAAAAGTTACCGGTTGTTTTTCAAAAATGGATCATCAAAATTGTGAGTCAGTGAGGGACAAGAAGGTCCAAAATTCATTCCCCAGTTAATATAAACCAATAAACATTGATGATTTCCTATTTGATATGTAATAATTTTGATATTACAAAGGATGTTGATGGCTGTTAATCAAACTAACAAACAACCAGACAGCAAATTCAAGAAAATTGTAATGCTTACTTCTGCAGCCATTTGATAACCATTGATAGTATGTTCTGATCCTCGCTCGTTACTTTTTCCCCAATGACAATGTATCTGATCCAAAATATATCTATTAACAGCTGGACCGCCTTCAAAATCTAAAAAATGCAAAACCAATATGATCGTTATAATATATCTTGGTGTATCATTTCTATCACAAATCTCACAGTTTTTGGTGCTGACGTATTCAACTGTCCATCCGTGGCCACTGTTGACTACCGTTTTAGAATATTTTTTATGGTAGCTCCATCTGATCTGGTTTTGGAAGAGCGATGCATCTGGTATGGCTAAGGATGGAACTATGTCCACTGGAGACTGTTTATTGCCAGATGCATTTGGATGTGTTTTGTACCAGTGATTAGGACCTAAAATAATGGTGTTAAAAATAAGTAATTAATTCAATAATGTTGGTTTATTAGTAAAATTTGAAGCGTTTTTTTAAGAAAAAATATAGTTATAAAGGATGGTTTGTATCAGCAACAACTTCATGAAGTTGTTGCTGATACAAACCATCCTTTATAAAGCATTGTTTTATGGATACATAGTAAGAAGCATATCATATGATAGAAAGAACTAATTTAATTATATAATATTAAATGATAAATATATCTCTTATTTATCATTATTAGTAATTCACATTTATTGATTATTTTCTAACAATTTATTTACATAATAGTAAACAATTACAAATTGTAAACATGGCATTCATCACAATTTTTATATAAATTTTTAATTCTGTACTATACAATTTATTTATATTGAAAGTGATACATGTACTAGGCAACCATTAGACAATATTTTTTTATATTGCTTCTATTAGAAAATAACCAGAATATTGACCGTTTCTATTCAAATCTATATACAAATGTTATAAATGAATTCTTCCAGAAGATCCATTCTTCTTATTAGTTATTAATCTTTTATACACAGGGAGTTGACAGTCTTTATATCGGTGGGAATGTCACCGATGTTAAACTCCACATACACGTGCAGTTTAATGGCACTAGAAATTATTTTGAACTTTATGAAAATGAAATATTTTTCTACTTAAAAAATCGGTAGAAAACCTTTCAACTAATAATTTTCAAATTTGTCTACACTTGAATTAATTCTAACAAATGGATAAAAGTCAATATACTGAAGGAATATTGACAGATGTGATGTATCATCGGTCCACTTCAGATCAATAAACATTAAATATTTTCGTAGCAAATATAACTTTTTAAATGTAAAGTTTTTATAAATGTAGTGTAATTAAACTTAAATGACGTCAGATTCCAGCCACAAAATAATGATTTTTCTGCAATTCCAAATAATAAAAATAAGTAATTTATTAATGAATTATCATCTTTTATTACTCATAAACTTATTTTATAGTTTAGTTTTAGATGATGATCTTATTGTTTCAAATAAAATATTTTTACTTTTCTAAGAATAAAACATAAAATAATAGTATATATAATTACATAACCGAAGATTGATCATCATAAGACCCTAGAGAGTAAGCAGATCCTATAAAATATGTATTAAAAATTAATTATCTACTTTAAATGCTTAAAATATGACGTTTCGATGATGTAGCATTTTACTTTAAACAATTAATACAAATTCGAAGAAATTCTATATTACTGCTACGTAACTGAATATGTTGGTTTTTGTAGCATTTACATAGTTTTCTGCTTGGGGCCTTTCTGCTTCTACCCTAAATAGAAATACAGTAATTATGCATTAAATAAAATATTAAGCGCCAACTAATTTCCGACATTTTTAAGTCCATCATATGTTAATTCCCTATTGCATTTAGATGTGTCCATACTTATTCATAAAAATATTATGACTCATTTCATATTAATGGAGTATAAAAATGTATCTGTGTTAATAAATACCCATAAAATCTACCGGTTTACGTGTCAAAGCTAAAATTGTTTACTAGTTTTATATGCCAACAGCAAAACTAGAAAACTTCATACCAGATTAATTTTTAATACATTCTTATAAATAAAAGATCAGAATAATTGTTGATCAATTCATCTTTGCATGCAAATTGTAGAATTAATACTACAAGAATACTAAGCAACGCGTTACTTGCGGACATCGCCTGGTTCCTCGTATTTCCAATTTGTAAGAAGTTTCTGGTAACGAGTTAAAAACTTCCTGTTTGCAACTACTTTTTTAATTGCTGATCCCATTGAAAAGTTGCTATTACGATCTGATTTTAATGAAAATTTAAGAAGTAAATATAATATTTTTTTCGTCAAAAATATAATTGTAGGTAGACGTTTTCGAATATTTCACTAAATAAATCTTACCATTAATTAACAAACCCAAAACGCTGTTTGAACTTTAAAACTACGAACCAGAAATCGAAAAAATGTTTTAAATTCATTAGAATGATTTTAAATAATTGCATAAAATTTCTTTGTAATTTTTTCAATGCTTTATAATATTAATTTTGAATTATATATTTAGTGACAAATAAATAGATTAATATATACACAATTTAATTTCAATATTATGCATAGTAAATAGTTACGCTATTTTTACTATCACGATTTATTTTCATTAGGTTACTACTATAATAACAAATCTCTACGTAAATCTTACGTAATAAAAGACTTACCTATCGAATTATGTAAGGGGGCGCTTTTTTTTATGTTTTGCCGGACGGTTCTCATGATTGCTCACAACGTAAATTGTGGTCTAAACCTTCGCTACACTTAAATTGATTTAAAATAAAATTTAGCTGCGACTGATGATGAAACTAATTTTTTTATACTTTCAATTACTATTTCTGTTTTCAAACCAAACACGTAAATAACATAGCAACGGTATTAACTGTCAATAAATTGCGCTTGGCCGGCATCGCGTGGTAACCGGATTGGCAAACTTACCGTTATTTACACCGTAACCCCATTGGGTTATCATGGGTTGGACAACGTTTCTGTTCTGGAGTACGGCCAGACATGTTCCCATCGTGTTCCTCTTTAATTCATTTTCTCTTTCTATTATCTCACCTCTGATCTTTCCCGAATAACTAACATCTTTGGTCGAGCATGCGCTTTAAACACTTTCACCCTTCTTCCGGTAAACTTTAATGACGTAATTGTTGGGGTTGCTGATCACTTCTAATCAACAGGTTGTTATGGCAACCGATCTAAAGAACGGCATCGAGTATCAGTACGAATCCCGACTGTGATTGCATGCATTTAATGCGATCGATACCGCTTGTGGTTGCTTTAATTTTTAAATTTGCGGTTCGATTCGTATATCGGAAACAGGATGAACATCGTACCTTTTATGGTCTAACGAATGGCTTTACGTCATTCCGGTTCCGGTTAGTTTTATTCCTATTTTATAGGTAACTTTGCATGGTGGCTTTTTAAGTTTCGAAAATTTTCTGTCGTTTTCTTTTCTTTTATATTTAGTCCACGTTTCGTCTGCTTAAAAAATTTGTTTATTAAGAATATTGTCCAAAACATGTGTTATTATTTGCATTAATTGTGACATTATTTATAGGTCTATATACAGTAAAACCTGTATAAATCGGAATCGCACGGTACCGGATACTTTTTCCGTTTTGAACAGGCTACACTATACACATATTATAAGTAGCCTATATAGAATCTTAATTTCAATAGAGTTTATGACTTTTCTCCTGATTTTAGTAAATATTTATAGCTTATTTTTTACAATTACGTATATTGTTTATGGAATAAATTAGCTCTGCAATATATTTGGCTGTTTGTTTGTTTTCTCTAAATGCAATGTTAACTTGAATTACTGCATAATTTAAACGATTTTTACTATTTTATTCTGTTAACTGCGTTATTATGACATATAATAATAAAAAACATTATAAACATTTCAATCCACAATTGATCAATTATAGAATAAGCCTATAAATAATCTTAATTCTAGTCTTGCCAAGTTCAATGATCCTTTGCAAAATGAATATTATATTACTCAAATCATAATGTATGAAATCGAAATAAAGATCCCCTTTTCCACGATCTAACAGGTTCTTGGAAATCCGTCGCTAAACGAGCCGTCGTAAATCGAACCCTACTCTTCCGTAGATTTAGCTGTTGTAAACTCGGTATCGTAGTCAGTATCGTAGACACAGTGTGATGAATTGAAGTTCTATTCCTAGAAATAAACTTTGAACTATGTAATATTTTATCGACATAGCGCCAAGAAAAAAAACATACCATATTTAAAATACTTGGCACATATGGCATATTGTATTAGGCTGAAAACGCTTGTGTTTTGTTTAATAAACATTTCTCAGCAACAGAAGGTGGTATCGATAGTTCATTTTGTAAAACAAGAGTTAATAAAGTGAGTCGTCGTAAGACATGGGGTACTACAAATAGAACATTGGCATTTTTAAGTCCATTTGATGATATTTACGGGATCATGTTTGATGGGATAAAGCAAGCAACACGAATGCAATCTGCCTCCAGGAGGACTTTTTTGTGAGAAACAGGCGTAAAAGAAAGCCCAGAAAACTCCGCCAGCCCTCCAGTGAAAACTCGAATGTTTTATCCACTTGGCAACTATTGAGCCATTTACTGGTTCATAAGTTTTATTGTTCATTATGTAAAACAAGTTAGTTTATTTTGGGATTCGTATAAATATTGTAAGGCTCCGCACTTCAATAGACTTTATATTACAACAGTTTTTGGTTTATATATGTGAAAAAATTGATATGTTTACAACAAATTCTAAATAATTCTTCTTAAAAATGAAATGGGTGACTTTAAATTAACTTTAAATATTTTGATATCATTATTAATTAAGCAATTGATTTGGTTTATCGCGTTGTATGAACTTGTTTATTATTTTATTAAGATCCTCGGAACGTCACGTTAAGCATTATTATTATTGGAAATGATGGAACGTAATGGTATATCGTGTGTATTGAAAGTATAATTTTCGAGATTTGTAGTTATAAATTTATATTATTATTGGACTTCATAAATAAGCGAACTTGAATACTATTTCAAATCTAATTATGGTTTTCGTAATATAAATGTCCTTACCAATCTATAAAAGTGAGATAAATATTAATTAAACATTTATAATGTTTACAAAAATTTANGCGAACACGACGAAAAAATTTTACTTGTCATAAAACAATAAATAGTTTGTCAAATTTTTATTCATAAAAATGCAGTTTCAATTGCTTTTTATTTTATAAAATCCGTCTTCTTGCGCCACCAGAGGGCCTTTTAAACAATAGGTATTCTGTTAGCGTAGTCAGTAGTAGTCCAAATTCAATATGAACGTTTGTTTCTTGAAAATTTGATAACAATTTAAATACATTATTTACTTTTAATATTACCGATATGTCATCAAAAAGAAAATGTGTTGTATTATCATTAAAAGACAAAGTATTTGTTTCGATTATCCGAATTTTTCCTTATCTGGACTAAGGCATCCCCAATTAGTCCGGATAATCGAGGTTCTATTGTATTTTATGTTTTAACAAAGATAAAACCAACTGATGAAGGGTAATAATAGGCCCAAAATGTATATTGGTTTAATAAAATCTCAGTGAACTTTCCAGCTGAAAACTGTGGTGATAAGTTCTTCAAATTCAAAGTAAATTCAAAAGTATCTATTAAGAAGATTAATTATAAAATAAGACAAAAAGCAAATATATATTATACCAGATTTTGTGAAAAAGCAAATAATTATAATTAATTGGTTTAAAAATTTTTTGTTATATTTTTCTTAGAATTTAATATGTATACAATTCAGTATACTTTATCAGAATCATATATATATATTTATAAATATACAAACAAGAAAATGCCACAGTTAACAGAGAACACAATAACGCTGTTAGATTTATTTAACTATCATCTCAGTATTGAACTCTACATGCTTTAAATTATAAAGCTTATATATAGGTTTCAATACTGAGATGATGATAGTTAAATAAAGTGTCCTCTAACTGTCTTAGAGTTCTGTATAAACATATTATTTATAAATGGCAATAATGATTGTCTGTTAAATTTCCTAAACAGGTTGGAGTTTCAAGAAGCTCAGGCACTGATATTCCTGTACAAGCTTTGATGCTGGCTATGTATATTCAGTTACAACAAGGTAAAATATATCATCTTGATTTTTCTTGAAGTTTTAAAATCTTTTAAATGACATATTTGTAATTTTATAGGTCATGCCGATCTTGCCAGGTCTATAATAAAACAGCATTTACCTCAATACAGATAGTATTATTATATATTAATTTGTTGTATAATTTTTTCCGTTAAAAATTAGTTATAAATAAAATATTATTTTATATGTTCTTTATTTATCCTACATCATATCTGCTGTGAAGCAAAATAGACTGTACAACTGATATTTAATTAAAACATTTTTTATTATAAAATATTTCTTTTCTTATATACAATATATATTTTTTCTCACTATTTGAATTTATATAAAACAAATTTTTTCTCAAATTTAATAAATAAAATAAGGATGTCCTTTCTAGAAAATATTCTATTGCCTTGGCTCTAATCTCCATGATTAGAATATTTACAGGTTAGCGAAATGCATTTCGTTCAGATTTCCGGTAATTCACGTGGCGAATCAGGCGGCCAAATAGAGGTTGTGGAGGGCGGTGATTCAGAGTGATGTAACCTCCGCTGGAATCTGGTGGGGCACGCTCCGTCTCACTGTGACACCTTAGACTCCTAAATTTACTTATCTGTAACAAAAATGTTAGATAACTAAAAGTAAATATAATAAACAATCTTCTTCACAAGTATTGAATAAAAACTTGTCTTGCCTGCTCAGCACTAGCTTCAATTGGATTCTTAAAAACTATCCAAGTGACACTTTCATGGCAGGGTGGAGTTGTTAATGATCCTTCATATGTCCAATAAGATATATTATCTATGTACAATGAAAAAATGTAATAAAAAATTTTAATTAAAATTTTAAATAGAAACCATACTCACCAGGGATAAACTTGGCTGGATCTACTTGCTCTCTCAATGGACATCTCTGCCCTTTAAAAGTTATATTTCCCAAAATTTTAACAATTTTTTCTAATTCTACATTTGGCTGTCCTAGCTAAAATTAAATTTTTGTGATCATCACACAAATTTTTTTTTTTAATCTTTATTATAAATATTTACTTTAATAAATGAAGCCAGTACTAGAAGTCCTTGCTTGTTACAAGCCGAATCCCTACAGTCCTTGTACAGTTCACTATTCCAATGAACCATGTGAATCTAAAAATATTGATTTGTAAATTTTTATATTTGAAATATAAAGCTTTTATTATTTTTAAATAAATAAAGGAAAAGGTGGTATTATGGAACATTTTATAAAATCCGTCTTCTTGCGCCACCAGAGGGCCTTTTAAACAATAGGTA